CTGCTTGTCTCAACAGTGGAATCGAACCCTTGAACTATTGCATGACAACAGTACAATTTCCGGTTTCGTTAAGGAAACGAAAAAGAGTATGAATATTCGAAATACGGATGCAATCCAGGAAAATGAGCTCAAGCAAGCTGAGGACGAAGAGATAAGCCTCGAGAAGTGCGCCGTCGCGCAATTCCAAGCCCTTGATGCGACAACTTTGGGCAGATTGGCATCCATTCGACAGATTGTTGGGAATGAGTGCTTTCAAAAGGCGCTCTGTCGATGGGTCCTGGTTAGTTCCGGAATTATTTTTCTTTTATTTTTTCTTTTCAAATTATTTTTCTTATTTTTTCTAATTATTTTTCTTTTTCGGAATTATTTTAACACAAAGGCTATTTGTGTGCAAACAAGAAAAAATCCACTTCAGCGCTTCAAAAATTCCGTTCAGGTCAGATCTTGCCCCTCCTCTACCTCCTTTTGTTTATCTCAGAAAAGCTCCTTTTTTTTTAAATTTTTAGGTTTTTTCGTCTCAAAATTGTTTAAAATGGTTTTCATTTTTTTTTTATCAAATTGATTGCACAGACGGAGATGCAGAAAAGTGAGAGGCCTAAGCAGTATCATTTAAACCAAACTTCTGAAGTATGAAATCTAAAAACCAAGCAATATAAAGTCACTATGGTAATTCTGACATTATGAAATCTTTGTAAAACTTATTTTTGTCTGAACAATGAGAATGCGGTAAAAAAATGTGCTCTCTGCGTGGATTTGCAGGGATTAAAAGGTAAAAAAGAAAAAAATCCCGATAAATCCAACTATGCCAATCTTTTTTTTTTTTTGAATAAGTTGCTAACTCAGAATCCAGGAAAGCTTGGAAGCTGAAATTTTAAGGGGGTGTTTACTGACAGTTCTGACGGCCAATCTTAATTTGTTTAGCTAGAAGTATTTGCCGAGAAAACCGGTGACGCTAGAAGTGCGGTAATGTGTGTCTCGTTGCAGCTAAACAGTAACAATACGATGGCCTAGGCTTGCATATACCGATACATGATGTGTTATGGAACAGAAAACCACGAAATATCATACAAGTGTTTGATAAACCCTCACCGCGAAATCGTTGCTGCCTATTTTTTTGCTTTTATTATATTGTGATTCAGTGTATTTGTCAAATAAGTTGATACGGAATGACAGTGGAGAACAACAACAACAACGTTAACAACAACAATAACAGCAACAACAACAACAACAATAATAATAACAAGAACAATAACAGCCATAACAACAACGACAATAACAACCACAATAATTGTGGGTGGATCTAGGACAGACTTCTAGAGAGGAGAGGGGGGCGAAAACTATGCAAAAACCAGGGATAGAATTGTAACATTGCTATTTGGAGTTACTTTAGTTTAGAGTTACTTTAGACTTTAGTCTACTCTTGCTTTTAGTCTTAGATCCGCGCTTTTGCAGCACTGGCGCCTGTGCCGTTGGAAGGGGCAAAAGGCCCTTCTCCCTCCCCTTCCCTTAGATTTGCCTGTCGTAACTTCCCCACTTTCCTCACTTGCTTGGCCACAAAAAAAGCTTCGGCTCAAAGGCTCTGTGAAATCCAGATTCTTTGATTCTGGCTTTTGTCTGAAAACTGGCAGAACTTAGGTTTTACCATCAACTTCACCACCCGTTTCTTTCGGTATCATAAATTATACCCACTTTGATTTCTCGCCTATTTGGATATGCAGCCCCGGCTAACCAAACAAACAGAATTCCTTCTCTGATTATTCCCTGCTTCAACTACTTTTTTGATTAAAAAAAAATGCCCCATAGCGTAAAATTGGATAGTGTCCAGAAGCCCTGGTACTTCCCGGCCATTTTTAAAAGCAAAATTGAAAAAACAAAAACCTAAACTAGGGCCCCTGTAATTTCTCGGCATGATCTGTCCTCGCTACGATTGATTAAGTGCCACCAAAAAATTGTGATGAAAATGCATATACGAACAGGAAAAGAATCCACTAGTTGTGAAGCAACGACATGAAATGGCGGAAAAGCTTTTTTTATCAATATAACATACAATCAACAACGAAGAAAATCTCAAAAAAGTGTAGTAAAAAAGTAAATAACAACATAGAACTACAACAGACTCTAGCAAAAAAAATCTATACAAAAAAAAACAATAAAATTTTTTTTCTTCTTTTTTATAACAAGAGCAACAATAAATTAGAAAGACAAACAGAAAAAACAATAAACATACCAACCACCAAAGACTACACAAGAAAAATTTTAAAAATTTCACCCTACATTAAACAGGAACTATGCAAAAAAACTACACAAAAACTTCACTCTTCCTACCATAGTCACTACCACTATACAAAATACAACAGAAAAACATTTTACATTCATACATTAAAGAAACTCCTTACATTCATAAAACAACAAAACATTTTTACATTTATCGCTCCAATTTCTTTGATCACAGGGATGAAACCACTTTCATAATTCCCTTCACAATACTATAGACCAAACCTGCAATATAATCCCCCTAAATTAACAATTATTGAACAAAAAAAAAAAAAAAAACACAAAACGTATCTGACTACCAGGAAAGAACGTCCGACTTTAGACCACAAATATGCGTGTTAAACCCCTCATACAAGGTTGTTTGTTTTCACCGCTTGCGCATATCAGCTCTTCAAAACAGTAAGATAAAAACATGTCAGGATGGCACAAATTGAGCACTGAATTACATAAAATTTAAAATCATTTAAAAGGCCGATACACAGTAGAAGTGCTCACAGGTTAAGTAAAAGACCCCACAGGCCGTTTGGACCCTGTGAGCGGAAGGAATTAGGAAAATAAGGGCTAAACCGGTACTGGGTGACTCTAACTAGGCCGTGCATAAGACGGAGTCGATCCTAAATCCGGTGAATTTTATTAAATTGGAGGGGGGAGGGAAATAT